CACAGAACCCCTCCACGCTCACAGAACCCCTCCACGCACACAGAACCCCTCCACGCTCACAGAACCCCTCCACACTCACCGAACCCCTTCACGCACACAGAACCCCTCCACGCTCACAGAACCCCTCCACACGCACACAGAACCCCTCCACACACACACACAGAACCCCTCCACACACAAACAGCACTCTCTCCACACACACACTAAACCGCTACACACTGCACCCCCTCCAAATACACACCGCACCCCCCCACACACTGAACCCCTACACACACTGCACTCCCCACACACTGAACACACACACTGCACCCCTCACTGTAGTTTGTGTGTATTCACCAGTCTGTGCGTGTGTAATCACCAATCTGTGTGTATATTCCAGCAGTCTCTATATGTGTGTATTCAGCAGCCAGTGTATATATTCAGCAGTCTGTGTGTGTTTTTTGCGGTTTGTGTGTATTTAGCAGTCTGTCTCTGTGTGTAAGTATTGTATTTGTTGGAGGTACCAATAAATATAAGCCTAATTTTATTGATAATTTATATTTTTATTTCTTTGAGTGGTTGCATAGTCAGGGCCCCAGTGCATTGGTTTACCCAGTGGACTATCATGCTGTTACGATGGCCCTGGTCTAGGGTATGTGTGTGCTCTGATGATCATGCTCCTACAAAATGTAAATGAAAAGACACTCATTTGAGTACCAGGAAGGAGATGAACAGTAACAGCCAATTCTGGCCAAGAAGAGATTAAAAACTTATGTATTTCTCTGTTTTGTTTTGGTTTTTTTTAGCGATTTTTGTATCGCTAATGGGTGTCCAATTTTTATATTTTCAAAATCTGGTCACCCTAGACACATGGAAGGTTGAGAGGGGGCATAGGGACACATGGAGGACTGGGAGAGAGGGCTAATAGGACATATGTGGGGGCTACTGGATTATATGCAAATGCACGTCTGCATCTGCTTACAATAAATCTGCTCTGCTTTATTTTGAAGCCCTATAAGTGCTTTCTTTCATGTTTGAGTGCTAGTTTTCAGTTTTTTTCCCGCTTCCATATCTGCGCACTATGCTGGCACGATGCATTACGGGGCTGGTATGGAATTTTTTTCCAAGGCTGCTTTTCATTCCCAGTCCGGCCCTGCCTACATTTACCAATAACCTGATCTACGCAATACTTTTAAATTTGAATCCATGTTCTCCCCACATGACTATGCCTAAAGCTGGCAAATGTATGCAATTTACCCTTTTTTTTTTTTTTTTCTGATGTACCATAACATAGGGCAATGTTTTGCTTTACACCATAGTCAGCATTGGGTAATCTAGCCCTCACATAATCTGTTACATCGGAAAGGTAACATTCGCTCCATAGCATCTTAATCCAGTTTAAAAAAAAAAAAAGATTCTATTAAGCGACTCACAAAACCGAATCAACCACACTAGTTTGCTGGTATAGTCACCATTACACTAGACACAGCATCTTAATTTTACTCCAGGAGCAGAAAGTTAAGCAAAGATATTTTATTTTATGTTATGAACATGCTTAAGTACTGTGTTGTCCTGTCATTTTGACCCTGAGGAAAGTCCCGAGCGGGAACTGAAACGTTGGTCGCTGATTTTATCCTGATTTGAATAAAGCATTTGAATTTTAAAAGACCGGTGAGCAGTAGTGATGTCCCGAACGGTTGCCGAACGGTTCGCCACGGATGGCGAACATATGCGCTGTTCGGTCCGCCCCCTATGTCATCATTGAGTAAACTTTGACCCTGTACCTCACATTCAGCAGACACATTCCAGCCAATCAGCAGCAGACCCTCCCTCCCAGACCCTCCCACCTCCTGGACAGCATCCATTTTACATTCATTGTGAAGCTGCATTCTTAGTGAGCTGTCCAGGAGGTGGGAGGGTCTGGGAGGGAGGGCCTGCTGCTGATTGGCTGGAATGTGTCTGCTGACTGTGAGGTACAGGGTCAAAGTTTACTCAATGATGACAAATAGGGGGCGGACCGAACAGCGCATATGTTCGCTGTCTGTAGCGAACCGTTCGGGACATCACTAGTGAGCAGCTATCTTTTGACATTTTGTATATATAATATATATAACTTTATTTAAGCACATAGATAATGTCTGTCCCGAACAATGTTTTGACCTGTTTGGGTCTTCTACAGATCAATTTAACAGTGAAACTAATACATAATATAAATAGATAAATGTGTAAATCAACTTTCCAATCCAGTGTGTGTGCAGCGGATCCCACTCCAAACCCAGAAGTACGCAAGGGGGCGACATGATCCCTGTTGTGTGTGTGTGTGTGTGTGTGCGTGCATGCGTGCTTCTTACATGGCTGCTAGGTGACATAACAAATGATGAATGCACCCCATCATTTTGGATTATATATTTACTCGGTTTAGCACCTAGGCAAGTTTATTGCATTTGATACCAAAGGGGTAAGTGCTAAGGTTATTTCTAATGACTTCCCTAACAAATACAGTGACTATAATAATGCCCTAGGCCTAGTCAGCCTAGGTTACAATACACTACCGTAATTATTTGAGCATGATTGCTATTCATCAAGCTAACATTGCATGTCATTAAGCTAATCCATATTTTGACGTTCACTAAGCATAATGTCATAATATTTTTAAATTCCCTCAGGTCCAATGACATGCCAGAGCCCAAGATGGATATTCCTAACGCTGGTCCCACAGGGGTTAATCGTGGAAGACATCTATCAATGACGTACGCATTTATCACCATACATCAATATTATAAATAGAACCAATATTTTCCCTCCCTAAGATACATGCATTGGAGGCATTTTAGTAAGCTAGAAATAATTTCATTTACAGAGGACTAAAGCATTATAGCTGAGCAGGTTTAAAAGCTTCATCATCCTTCGAAAGGGCAGAATAATTTCTTTTCCCTGTAATACTTGAAGAGCCTAACTTAGATTAACATAATGTAAAAACATCCATAAAATATATATGTATATTGAATGTGTGCAGGGCTTGCAGCTTTAGGTTTGTTTGTTTTTTAAAGTGTTTGTATATGGAGCACTGTAAAGCAAATTATTTTCACTTGACTATTTATGTGCTGCCGGCCTCCACTGTTAGGATAAATACTAGAAGCTGGAATATGAGCCAGGCTGCAGAATTAAGAATGTGAAATCCCGTAAAATTGCTATGTAAGTAAATAATCTCTTGGCTCTACTAAAAATGCATGAAATCTGTCAGATCTGCTTCTCATTAGGGATAATTTTGAACTTTATACTTATTTGCTTTTTTAAAAACATCGATCTAACAAATACTTAATAATATGTTATTTATAAAGCATCTTGCATCTTTTTAAGAGAAAAGCAATATTTAAGAGTTGGAAGCAAATGCATTGATTGGACTGCGTGGCTTATTTGGCTAGATGGAGGTTTTGCTTTTTTTTTTGTTTCATGGCCAGATCACATTAAAAAAAAATGGTTTGCAGGAGTCCTTAGACAATGTGAAACCTGATGTATTTAATTAAATAATTTAAAATAAACAGATAAAATAAACCATGGATTTATTTTAATGTCAGCAAGGTAAAAAAAAAAAAAGCACATTAAAGAGATACTATAGTCATCAGAACAACTTCAGCTTTTTATGGTGAGTATAATCATTTTGTTCAGGCTTTTTGCAGTAAACACTGTCTTTTCAGAGACAAAGCAGTGCTTACAATATAGCCTAGTGATACCTCCACTGGCCACTCCTCAGATGGCTACTAGTGGTGCTTCCTCACCCTCTGCATGGAAACACTAAACTTTGGTCATAGAGATGCATTTCTATTAGGAGATTCTGAGTGGCCATGGCTGTGTTTTCTTGTGATGGCTCTGCCCCTGATCTGCCTCATTGACAAGCTGAGCCAATCCAATGCTTTCCTCAGGGAAAGCATTGTGATTGGCTTTGAATAACTCTTCTGATTATGTCAGCCAAGGAGGCAGATCAGGGACAGAGCCAGCAGCAGCAGCAGTCTGAAATAAATGTAAGATTTTACTATATTTAGAGGGCTTGGGGGCCAGGTGGGCTAGATGGTGTTTTTAACACTATAGGGTCAGGAATGTGTTCTTTTAAATACGACTTTTCAGGTAAAACCTAAAAATCTTGAAACCTTTGTTTCCGTTGAGATGTAGCCAGATATAAGGCTAGTTTACTCTGCAACTGCAGCACTGATTTTTATATTTCTGTAACGTAGGTGGGATTTTTTTCACCACAACAGAACAATAACTGTGTCCATGCAGCCATTTTTTGACAAATGTGTTGGTTTTGTAGATAGGCTTTGAAGTCCATGTCAGTCAAAGAGCAGGCAAATACCCTTCCTGGCCCCATATTCCAACTCAAATCAATTAGACTGGCATGGAAGACTGATATGAAAGGACGATCAAGCCTGCCCCTCTCTCACTGATGACTGGTGTTGCACAAAGCAATTCACAGTCATCCCCAATGATTAGTGAGATAGGCTTTAAACTTGCTTACACTTGGGGAGAACTACAACCATGTCCCTGCACATTAGCATGTTCTGTGTAATGAGAACAGAGAGCTGTAAAGCCCAGCTCTTTGATACAGGATAATAGAGCCCTCTTCTGTCAGCTTGACAAACATAAGGGCTGCAGGCACCATAACTACCTTTAAAAAGTTGACGTTATGGTGCTAACATGAAGAATCTCTTAAACTATTGCAAGATTGCTTTAAATTTTAAAGAATCTGGGAATAATTGTTGTAGAAAGGTAATGTAAACATGTTTTCTATTCTGGTGTATGCACACATCATCAAAGGAGTGTACGCTATCTTGGAGGCAAAGATATGAGCTGTGCTCTCAAGCCTTATGCTACGAGACTGACAGATTTGTAAAAAAAAAAAAAAGGGTTTTTGCACTATAAGCCCTGCAATTAAGTGATGTGGCCATGGTGCCGGGTCTATATGTTTAAGCTCTGCACACATATTGGTATATTGTGTTGATAACCGCCCACCTACTTTAGGGAAGTGTCAAAATCAAAGTTGCAGTTGCAGAGCAACTGAACGCCATCTGGTCACATCTCAGAGGATAAACTGTTTTGGGATTAGACTTTCTCTGAAAAGTGGTGTTTATTTAATATGCTGTTCCTTACTTTTCTTTGAGGGTAAAGGAACACTATAGTGTCAGGAACATAAACATGTTTTCCTCACACTATAGTGTTAAAATAGTTATTTAGGTAGAAAAACCTAGGTATTATTAAGGTAGAAAAAAATAAAAAACATTGGGAGGCTATTGTGCATGTGTGGCAATCAATGCATCTCTATAGTGAAATTTTAATGTCTGAGTGACTGCCACTAGAGGTGTTCCTAGGAAGTAATGTAAATACTGTCTTTTTCCTGTAAAGATTGGCAGTTTTTACATTGAAAACCCTGCAGGGAAAGGCTACAGACAGCGGAACTATTGCATAAAGCTGTAGTGGTTCTGGTGACTAAAGTGTCCCTTTAATATTTAATGAAATACATATAAAGGTTTTATGTTAGCTGTAAGGAAGGGTTTTCTAAACATGATATTGATTATAGGACAAAAATTAGTTGACAAAGCTTTAGGGTGAACCAGGGTGATGGTATATGACAGTAATAGCCTTAGGAATGGGAGAGAGAAAGAAACCAATGATCTTTTTAAAGTATAAGAAGGGAGGGATGGGAGTGTGGATGCAATGAGCATGTCGGAATATGTTTTGTTGAGCAATATATTTAGATATCATCTAGGTGATGCCTAGGTGGAGTGCTGATATACATTCATCCTTTAAAGAGAAACGATCAGGTTTCAGAGGTGAGTCACGCTACCTCTCTCTCTCTCTCTCGATGTGCCTGCATACCTTTTAGTTCTATATTTTTTTAATAGCTTGATGAATAAATTCATACACTAGCATCGCAACTGTTATCTAGAAAAGGACAGACAATGCTTTCACATTTCAAGCACATTCAATTACATTTTTCATTTGTATAACTGTGAATTATGAATTATTCATTGACATGGGAATTGCACTTTTAATCCTAAAACAGGTTCTTTGATTCAGCTATTCTCCCAATTCAGCCATTTGGACGTAGTTTTAAAATTCATTGCTACTTCTCTGCAGTCCCAAAGTAAATTAGTACAACTGAGTTTGCATCTTTAATGCTATAAATGCATGCATTGGTTGCATTATGGACAGAGAGTTATGAGTTGGTTCATGAGTGTTTTAGTAGGACATTTGTGAATATAGTCATTGTAAATTGCCCATTTGTACCTGGTTTGCACTGGAATATAACACTTGATATCTTTATTGTGGTTCTGTGATATGTCAGTTTGCGGCCTTTCTGTTGTTTGGGGTATCTCTAAAGACCAATGATTGGGTGACTGTAGCAAGATAGATGGATTGGGTGGAAAAAGCAACAAAGATTATTGATTTCCATTCCCCAGAGCAGAGGAGTACAGATTTCGCCCTTACTCTTCTATTGTATTTAAACGTTCAGAGTGTGGGGGTTGTGGTTTGGCCATCAACCCTAATGGGCGCATGAACTGAGTGCTCCCATCCACCCGCACAATAATTAGCACAGAAGAAACGCGACCCTAAACTGCCACCGAGTCACCTCACCATGTCCAGTACCGGCTCCGGAGCTAAACCGCCACGCAAGAAGAAGGGAGACATAGGTGGATCCTGCAATGCCGTGATGGATCTGTTCACGGCCTCCCGCATGCTTCAGACCTCGCAAGATGGTCGCCACACCAGCCCGCGTGGCTTGCTGTCCCCTGCATCCACTGCAGAAAGTGAAGCAAAGGACAGCCCTGGCGAAATCTCCCAGATCCTCCAGAAACTCTCGGAGGTGAAAAATTATCTGGCAGGTAAAAACTCATACTGAAATAGTGACGTGTTATATAACTATGTTCTGGGTTGTGCGCATTGTAGCACAGCGGATTGGAGATGGG